ATGAGAATTACAATATTTCATTGAATAACTCGGTATATATAAATCGTCAGTCATAGAACTAGGTAAGTGCGATTAATTATGTGATTCAGTGTAAAACCGACAAATAAAATATCACCTAGTACATATCGTTTGAGCAATTAAGTCACTTGTTCAACCGTGCATTGCATCACATGTCACTGCTTAATGTTATTACAATATAATGCACATCGCTATTCCCATGTTATTCATTGTAATTATTTTCTTTCAAGCACATGTTTTTCATCTTTAAGCAAATCAGTGTAATTGGTGTTCATCAATCACCACCAATCATAGAAGACGTTTTCGAATAGTTATAATCAGAGTATATTTTTTGCTACATTACACACGGATTTATGATATATGTGAAGTGAACTAAACTACGGAAAATGTATGTTACCTTAGTGACATCACGTACATTACATAAACGATGTTACAATATTATTTATGATCTCACCTTATACATATTTTGGACGTATATATATTCGTTTGTATGATAAACGCACATATTATGTTGATAAATGTGTCATTTGTATCATGTATTGCAATTGTGGGCTTTAAGGCCTTGTGATCACACGGTGACGTTAATGACTTACAATTATTAGCTGATGGCGTATCGTCTGGCTGTCATATAATTGCATGCCTTATAGCAAATGTATTGGAGCTGGAAATCCGATCGTGGATGGTTTAGAGTTGGCCACGTGTACCATTGCGATAGGTCGGATATGGAATCAAAGTTAGACTTATTTATTTGTAAGAAAATGTTGTGTATTCTTTTGGGTCGTGTCGCTCAATTTCTCGGCCATATTGTGTGAGTGTTATCTGCCAAGGGAGTTGAATTTCCTACTTCTACGATCTTATTCGTAGCATTTATAATAAATATGCAATGCTGCACGCCAGAGTACATTTCATCCGGTTCATTTGTTCTTCGCTTTTCAAAGCGGGTTAGTAACCGAGGATTTGAGTGTAAGAATGTATACTTGAAAAGTGTCTTATTTCGTGGGAACAAAAAAAGGCAACATCTATAAGAAAATGCTGAAAACATTTCTAGATAAACGTGTTTTTCATCATGAAAGCTTACGTGACCGTGTTGACTTCATTATCTATATATTCAACCAACAGGCCCGGCATTTTCTGCAATAACTTGCTCGCTATCCGCCAAATCAGTATTTCTTTTCAATTGACATAAATATATTTACATACTTAAAAATATACTGCCGCAACGTGCCACAAATATTTTACCGAGAAGTTGAGTGCACGAATATCATTATTTATAATGTAACGTACGTAAAGCTTACGGATAACACTCGGTGCTATACAGGCATATTGGGGATTGCCAATAAAGTACATACCGCATTTCATTGCAACATGCTTTTCTTAGTAGTAGTCACTAGTTTTCTCTTTACATGTATATACAAAAATAAAGTTTCAATGTATTTTCTTATTTTGATTGCCTGGGGACTTTCGAGAATAGAACAATCAACCAAGGTCATCAGTTCAAAACGTTTAGAACGAATCACGCACTCATTGTAATTTGCATATCAACACGATACTATTTCAAGTTAGTATTAGGTTACTACGAAGAGACTGCAAAATATGCACAAAGTCAGTAGAGTGCGAGTATCGACCAACGCCTAGCAAAGATCTATGTGACTCCGTAGCGTCTGAGTGCATACTTTGAGGTGTCCTCGTAATAACTTTATTATTGTATATCGTTTCGATCCAATGGCTTAAGCTTAGAAGTGAACAAGAACGTGAACATTACTGGTACTCGTTTTGTCATCTTGGAAATACTTGATATTTGTACGATATTTGAATTCTCTTTTAGGTAGGCTAGTCTGGGTATACTTGTGTTCATTCATTCATTCATTCAGCCAGTCGGTCATTAATTCATTCAGTCGTTTATTCACCATAACAGCAACAATGCCCATACAAAATAACACCCAAGTCCTCGACTAAGGCAAGTTCAAAGGCGTTGCACATTATTACCCTCGTCAAATAACCACATACTGATTCAGACCTCATTAACGACATTTTAAATTCCCATGGAGCATACAACCACGGTAGCACATGGATATATATTTTTTACGGACTGGATACGGCTTTTGGGACCCGAGGTCGTGCGGCAGAAGCGCCGGAGCTTATAGGTGTAATTACAATTTTAGCACGGCATGATTTAGAATGACGCGTTTTGTTTTTTAATGATGAAAGCCGGCCGGGCAGTGCGAGATACTAGTATATGATAAGTACCAACCAGTCCATGATACCAGCTTCTCATTACTAGGCAGATAGGCAGTGAGTGTAAAGTATCTTGCCCACTATTATAACACCAACACATAGTCACACCTCGAACTGTTCCTCTCAGTTCGGAGAAATAACCATTTTGGCCTGATGTCTCCGTGCGTTACATGAATCCAATACGTTTTGATTCTTATTCCAATTCCAATATACCGTATATATACGTAAAACCAGTTTTACCATATTTCATTTTTATTTTCATTTTCATAAGATTCGCTCACATTGTCAACACTCACTTGTAAACTATAGCATACTGACAATGCCACAAAGTAGATTGACGGAGCATTGACCCCAAAATGAATCACAGAGTGAATTAATTTAACACTGGAACACAGCATATAACGTTATCGATTGTCAAAGTGCATGTGAAATATGCTGAAACGTACAATCTCATTTGCTGTTACTGACAAGCGACGATGGAAGCTTTCGTCGCAGTTGTAGATTTGTCGAGTGTCTGTGCTTCCGATCGCTGAGTCTTGAAACATACTGGCGGAAATTTTTCCCCATAAATGAGTATATTATCGGATTTAAACAACTGTTAAAATACCCGAGGCATATGCCTATGAAGTACACGATGGCGAATGTTCTGTTTCTGTGAAGATCCGGGTACGCAAACGAAATGAAGTTGAGCACGTAGAAAGGCAACCAGCAGATGACGAACGCGGCAACGATGACAATAACGATGGCGGCAACCAGCTTTTTTCCCTTGGAGTGCGACGACATTGTATGTTCGTGGAATTGCGACTTTTCCCGTTGTATCAGCGATCTACAAACGTGAAAATATGCAGTCACAATGAGCAACAATGGCATGACAAATCCTATACAAAATGTGTATATTATGAAAATCTCGCCACCTTGGAACTCGTTAGACCACCGCACAATACAGATAGGGTTACCATTGTCCATAGTTAACACTGTAGCGTATATCCAGAGCACTAAACTTGCCAAGAATGATAGTATCCAAGAAAGCACACTGATGACTCGCGTCTTCGTGGGCGTCCGATACGAGCGAGACTGCATGGGTTTAGTGATGGCTAGATATCGGTCCACGCTCATCGCTGTTAGAATGAAAATCCCCGTGAACTGATTCATTCCATCAAACCCGTGGATAAACTTGCAAACAGCAGCGCCGAATACCCATGTTTTAGTCGCGCGTTGGTGTGCGATGAAAGGCAATGTGAATAAAAATAGCAAGTCTGCGATTGACAAGTTTAGAACGAAGATGTTGGGAATAGAATGCAGATTCGAGAATTTCAGTAAAATAACTATCACAAACAGATTAGCGCTTATTCCTACAACGCATATAATACTGTACACGATGGGCACGATGATGGCTAAGGGGTCACCATTACTGAAAAAAGAGTCGCCAACACCGAAATAAGATATGTTGCTGTAGTTACTCCCCGACATCGCAGCTATCGGTTGTCAAATTAATCTGTTGTAAGATAAAATAACCACACGGGCGGACGAGTTGGATGAGCACCTACTGATTCAACGACAAACTAAAATTGTAAACTGAAACATGAGGTCCGTGTATCATACCCGGATGTATGTTTCCTGTATTATGCGTACTCACCACTGATCACATCTGAAGGTAGTTTATACTGTTTATGTATTCATGTCACGTTACTATGATGACGTACGTGTACAGCTCGATGTAGCTGCCCAACTACACTTATCCTAATTAACCTAAGCCGACTTGTCGCCCTACACGAATTGTGAGTTTGCTCTCAGTTTGTGTGCGCGCGTCTTTGCAATGATTCAGTCAAACAACTGCTGAGAACGCGGTTAGCGACCAGTGATATGTCACAGTCAGTGAATAAACTAAAGGTAACCGCAGACAAATAAATCAAGCGGCAATTGTTGTACCATTCTTTATTGATATATTTTAATGCGTTTTTTTTTATCTGCAACTTTCCGTCTCAGTTTGAGCGAATCATTAGTCAGTGTGGTCTTACCTGCTTTGTACGTTGTATTTAATTAACGTCACATTACATGCAAAAGAACGTGATCCTGACATCTAACAGCGACATGTGAGTGTCAAATTATTATGAGAACAGGCATCTCCCCGTGCGCATACATGAGTACTGGGACAAGGACACACAGACAATTAAAACAACTTGGTGTGAGATTCATCTCTGGGACAATTTTGCTCACCAGTGCTAATCGAGTGTTTTCATAATAGGTTTTAAACACATGGAGATGACATTTCTCCTAAATTTAATAAATCACTACAGCCAATTAAAGCATTTGGAGACGCATAGATGAAGATATAGTATATTTGATTGTCAATTGTGCCTTAACAGTTCACTTGAACTATAGCCTAGTTGTTGTCAGTGAACAGTCGTGTCCAGGCTACATCAAGTAAATGCTAGGACTGAAGCTAGCCCCATACGTTTGCATATCGACTATACACAATCGCGTTTACGCACGGGAGGGGGGGGGGGGGAACAGTTATCACGGGATAAGAAACACCCAAACTTGACAAGAATATACAAAAATAGTCATTCTAACTATGATTACTCAGTGTAGTAACCAGGAAGGTGTACATGCTAGTTTTACGGTTATAAAGGAAAAACAATGAAAATTAGATAAATTCGGACTTCTGAGTCCGGGTTTCATCGCCAGTCTATTTTGTCTCGGGAATAATGAATTAGAATGTATAGGTGTTGATTGACATATCGAGAATGGCATACCGAAAAGAATAGACATGAATATAATAGTAAATCTTTCAAATGGACACTGAATACAATAGTGTATGGAGCTTTATCCCGAGCTAAGCGTTCACCCACAATTCGTTTGCCCGTACTAATAGACTGGGCTGGGTCTTATAAACGGGCCGGATTTAGCTCGTACTTACCGTTTCTTAGCACGGGCTAACGTATAATTTTAGAAAAAGTCATTTATGTTTGTAGCCGCTACTCTTTTTCTGTGTTTTCTTCACTTTGAAAAATAATTGTAATTATCTCATCTGGACCCCACCCCGTCGAATCCACTATGTTAGCTACATATTTCAACTTTACAACCATAACTCACAAGATGAAAGATATGAACGTGTCCGGGTTCCCAATACTTTGCCCCGTAATAATAGTTCATCCAACGTGTTAACGAGTGGTGAATTACTTGGCTGGAAAACACTTCTTTTGTAAACGTTTAAAAAAAACAGTCGGGACACATTTATATCGACTTAGCAGTACTGACTGAGAGATGCTATCTCGTGAATTTCCACTAAAACACTGCATTTTTCGTGGGAAAAAATCACGTGACGCCTATGTAAACAAATGATTATCTTTCTATGTTCCCCTATATACAGACTCTCAAACAAAATATGGTAAATGAAGGTTTTGAATAAGATAACAGAAAGAGAATTCTTTGTTAAAAATGTCAGAACACTATTCCCGCTACCTTAGTGTCAAATCAGGTCAAAGGCTACAAAATTAGTCGCATTCAGAAAAGAGTCAATTCTTGTCAGTTGGTGGGAGTTTAGACCGCGGAAGTTTCGGCCACACTCATATTTTATAGATTGATTCTTGTAGCTATATATATTTATATTTAGCAAAGTATTTTAACTCGTACGTTTATGACAACTATGTTTTGTATTATTTTCGTATTTTACGCATTTCTATTTAACATTTAATTGCGTTTCGATATCAAACTTAAAAGCATACGTACAAATACAAATTACAAATCGAAATGTAATTTACACACTTGAAATTGTACTTCATTTTAAAAGTAGATTTACATATGCATCTTACTTTTACTTTTGAAAATGAATTTACATTTGAAAGTTTACTTTTATTTTTGATAATGGATTAGTTTTATTTTTGACTTTTAAATATGAATTTACAATTACATTTTCACCACAGTTTTGAAAAAAATAATGATTTTTAAAATGGTTTTGATTTTCTCGCCCTTTTACTTTTTGACCTTTAACCAATGACCGTAAGTGCCAATTAAAAACAAGTTGTCTTTTCATAGAGTGTATGAATTTAGATTTACCGATTTGCTAATAAATTGTTCGTTCTAGGTATGGCGTAAGTCTAATATTGCAGTTTAACTCTTAGGTTGTAAGTATGACATATTTATGTTTATTTAATAATAACTCGTACGCTGCAAGTTTGGCTTAATTTTATTTCTTTACTAATACCCTGTGCATTGCAAGCATGGCGTATTTTATCTATTTACTAATAACTAGTACGTTGCAAGCACGGTGTATTTCTAATTGCCATAAGTTACCTACTCCCCGTTGGAAGTCACGTCACAATAACAGTGTATAATGTATGAACATAAATTTATGTTGAATGTGCCAACTCACAAATTCCAACTTTTATAGAAAATGACAATTATGCACATTGAAATAGCGGAAGAGTAAGTAATTACGTAATAATATATAATACATAAATTAATAAGAAGTAATACATATATCATTACAAATATGCGACATGCAAATTCGCAAAGCCGATTGAACTAGTTCTGTATTCTGTGTTATTATTGTTATTTTGTTGAACATATCTTAGTGTAGATTTCTTACAAATAATGCGTTTCATTCTGTTCAACTGATACACGGATAAATATCACAGTGTTTTTCTTTGTTCAAATGTGATACTGGTTATTCGAATCTCGGTCCTTCCGTCGACTGTTTCTGACGCTCAATCATGTTCCCACAAGTACAAAACATTTGGAAAGATATCTTTCCGTAAAAAGGTATTTTTGAAATCCAAGGAACACGAAACAACGCCGTGTATATAATTTGTAATTATGCACAACGGGTAATCACCATATACTGAATAAAGCTTATGTTGTTTTATTGAAAACAACGAAATGAATTTGTGTTTAGCCGCACTTGTACCTGCGTATTGCATAACACATTATATAAAAGACGATTAATAATGTGTACGTGCGAATATAAATGGTATATAAATAAATTGTCATCTTTATTTGTACAAGCGCTAGACGGAAACCTTTAGGCTTCTAATGCGAGATAAAGACATGTAATCTACAGAAACGGAGGTGTACTTAATCTGCGAAGACGAAATAAGGGCGGAAATGCTTCACGCTTCACTTAATCGTTATTAAATAAAACAACATTTGGTATTGACAAAATTCAATCTTTCCCAAAAAAACACTTTCGTTTTCCCAATTTGCTTGATATTCATCGAAAACATTAGCTAAATTCATGTAAACAGTGCCACAATAATCCTTTAAAAAGTCACAAATGTATGCAATATGATTGTATGTTTCATATAATTAAACATAAGATGTACCCAGTTGTATATATAGAAAAACAACCGAATAATACGACCACATGCACATACGTGGATGTGTATAACACCACTCCAGACGTATTTTAGGTAGACTTCAAATACTACACCACTAAGCATTTTACAGCGCATATAAGCGATGTATTTATAAGAAAAGACTATACTCATAACTGGAAACGCGGTAAAATAAATAGAAACCTCTAACAAAATTACGCATGTTTTCATACCTTTGTGAGACCATCGTTGAACAAAAGAATGGTCATGCGCAGTGGAGCTTCAAACTTGAAAAGGAGCTCCCACTCAACAGCAAATATTGTGCTACCCTCTAAAGCAAATGCAATGGCTCGTTTTTAGCGATACTTATTATAAAAATAAACGTTTTGGTAAAGAGATATTATGTGTCGTCGTTACAAAATGGGCAATACGATTTTTCTGCAGGTGTGTTAAATTGACGGTCAATACTTCGTTCGACTGCTAATATGCGCTAGCATACTAATTTAAGGTAGAGATGCAGGTTCGTGGGCACTTGGGAGTGAAATGTTTTTTTTCTTTTTATTATCCAAACAGTCTGGGCTATAGACTGTTAACTGGTACAAACATTCTCTCTTTTGAATGCTTAGCCAGATTTAGCAAGGCTGTACATAAATAATCAAAAAGAAACATGGTGACAAAAAGAAATGACGGGATCTCCATATTATGCACTATATTTAACTTTTAACAAAACGATAATACATTTAAATTTGAAACTGTTACAGCCATTTTAATTATGCGCATTAGCAAACTTCTTACTGAGTGAATTGTTATGCAAATTAGCAATTATCTCAGCTTCTTTTAGTGCACATCCCAGAACTTTAAAAAAAATAGCTCCTAGACGCTTTGACCTTTTGTTTTGAAATTTTCACAAATAATTGACAATGTGTTTATCTTAAAAATGCCGTCGGGGCATTGTTTTTGGTTGAACAGTGTTACAACAATCGTACAGGCAAACAGCCTGAGTGTTAATTTATGTATAAACTTGAAGTAGTGAAATTTGAGCTGCTGCCCTACAAAATTGACAACTGGTAGACAGTTTTCAAGACGGCACTTTCTTCATAGTAAACCCATAAACCAATTTTGACAGGAAACAGAAGCATGGTTTAGAAGCTAATT